AAATAAAATCTTTAAAAAAAAAAAAAAAGAAAGTTCTATGCCTTGAATACACCAGATGGTAGGGCAAAAACTATGCCCTCAGAGGGCAACAGTTAAGTTCACCAAAGAGACTGTGGTTCTGTAATGTTTCATCTTGCTCCAGCATGTTCCTGTTCTCTATCCCTATACTGCCATCATTTAACCCAAAGCTGAAATCTAACTAGAAGTATCTAATGACACCAGGTGGCATAACGGTGTGGTTGATAAAGCAAGCACGGGTTTGAAACTGAATGTGAATTCACATCTTGGCTCTACCACTTATCAGTCACAGAATAATGTCCCCCCTTGGGGCACAAAGAGTATGTCCCCGCTCTGGGTACAATCTGCAAAACAGATCCTCTCTCACACAGGCATCTACACCCAGCATCACACAAGAAATGTATATAAAGTGCACATTACCATGCCTTTCGTGTAGTGTGCAAACAGCCCAAACTCCCCCAAATGTATGCTTTGACCAGATGTCTTATGACACTGGCTAAGTGTTAGCGCTCACACCTTCTGCGCTATCGGGTGGCAGGACAGACAAAGCAAGCATGGGTACCAGAGCTGGGCCTGTGGATTCTAAGCACAAACCTAGGAACTGGGTAACTTAAGCGTCAGGGAAGTCCAGATAATTCCTGAGCTGTTTCCGTCTCCACTAACAAGCAGACTAATAGCAGTGTGTATCAAGGAAGAATCTGGACTCAAATCAAAAGATCACATACAGATATATTATACAGATCTATGTCAGTACAGACGATAAACACTTGTCCCTTTGCTAATTAGGACAAGAAAACAATGCTGTAACCAGCAGTCATTTCTTGCTAACACAATCCCCTGGGGAAGAAGACTATACCCAATCATCTGTGCCAGACTGAGCTTCTTGAGGGAGAAGTCTAGGTCTTAATCATCTCTGAAATTCTCTACTGTACGTCTTTACACATAGCAGTAACATACTGAAAACTTAAAAGCATTAGAAATTGACAATAAACTCAAGACGAGAACTGTATAAAAGACCATTTATGCTCAGAACAAGAAGAGTCACTGACCCATACTGTAAATTTGTGAGGTTTTAACTTGAGTTGTATATCCATAAAACATCACGGGCAAATTAAATGACCTTTTGGGGGAAACCTTACCAATATGACCCCAATGCTATTCAGCTCCATGAGGTCCTCATTGATACTGCTGGTGTTTGTCTGAAGGAGGCTGGATATCAACCTGATGACATTCAATCGGGTATTGCCCACCGGAGGGTCCAGCACACCCCACGTAGTCTTCATCACACTTTTCTGAGGAAGAAAAAGCTTTCCAATTACGTCCAGTTCAATAAACAAACAAAAGGGGGGGAGGGGTGTGTACTAATACGTAACACTAGGTAAACTAACCCTGCAAATCATGTGGCCTGAGTTCCACATCTGAAGGAAAATCCAAAGCTGCTTTTGAGATCTTCAAGGTATGATAAAATATCCAAGAGGGGAGGAAATCAAGTAACTCCCCTGGACTAGAAATTCCATAGGAGATCAGATATCCCTCTCCTTCAACATTCCAAACTGCCAGAGGAAGAAAGCAGAATGCTCTAGAAGTTCATGGGGGGGAAGAAGTGCAATATTCCAAACCTGACCAGAAATCCTGAAACTAAGAAAAGTTACAAGTGGTTTGGGAACACAGTCCTCAATCTGTGAGAAAAATGCAAACTTTGATTGCTTCTGGATCACAGCCCTGAAACAGGATCAACTTCAAACCTGTTACTGCCCATAAAAGGGAGTCTCTATACTTTGGTGACAGAAGACAGACACAGGACACTTGAGAATTTCACAGGTTTGACAAGAAAGTGTGGTGAATTCTAACCCAGCAGCGAGGCTGCCCTTTCCTGACTCCCCCACCTGCTCCTCTCAAGGCTTAATGGAATGGAAGGCTCACACTTATACTCCATGCAAGGCAGCTCCAATGAACAGACATGTTAAAAAGCTTCAGGAATCTACTCATACACCACATCATGTAGTAAAACCACGTACAAACTGAACTCACGGACTCCTAGCAGTAAAAGAGAGGAAGCCCAAATGAGAAACTGCCCTGCTTTTGAATCAGGACCAAGAATACAGTGTGAGAATCTACACTAGATGCTGCCTTTTGTCCACCTAGAAAGAAGACAGGCAGGCCAACAAAGACACGGGCTGGAGCACCTCCTCACACAGCCTCTTCTCTCCCATCTCCTTCTCCCATCTCCAACTTCCACTTCTCCTAAATAAATCCTTTATTTTTCATTCCTTACTCTCCCATTCTTCTTCTCACAGCTGCCATGAAGGATGCCACTGACCAAAAACCCTTAAACACCAGCAGAGCCACTGTCCCTGAGAGTGAACGCCAAACACTCCAGCCTGCACCCAGCACTGGTTGAACACAGACAAGACAGCATGACCCACACAGGGCCCCTGCCTGCTAACTGGTAGCATCAGCCATCTGAAGAGACCATGTGGAAGCTAAACTCAACTCCCTGCGTCATGGACATAAATGATTCTGTGTTCCCCCTCCACAAACGCTAAAATACATAAAAAGCATCTAACGCAGAAGGGAGAAACTAAAATCTTAAATTCCTGATACCCTTCACAGTGGATGCCGCAGAGACACGCACTACAACAGGCCACTGCTTGCGATGACACAGGGCAGGGGGTAGTGTAAGGGAAGGGTAAGGAGTCGTGCTGGCAGGGGAACTCTCACAGACCTGAGTCTTCCACAGAGATTCTACAAGGAAGGGCTCCTTACCCTGATCTCAATCTCTGCACCACCCTTAGGTGCTGGGAAGCAGCGGCAGAACAGCACTTAGGGCCTGTGGACAGCTCTCTCTCGCAGGGCCTGTCTGTCATGCTCTCGGCGGACTCCCTGATTGAAGTCACTGTGGATTAGCGCGCGGACGCTCCCAGTGGAAACACTAGCACTCCGAATCGCGCTCAGCCGACTAGTCCTTTAATAAGATATCTGCCCATCAGACTGATACACCCCTCCAACTCTGAATAAGGCAACTCAGTCTCAAAGATCAGTTCCTAAAAGATTAGCTTTACCTCAAAAGTGAAAACAACACACTTTACTTTACTGGCATAGAAGTACCCAGAATTTATAGAAAGAAAGAACAAAAAGCTGAGTTTCCTAAATAGATAAATATTTTGCTTAATTTTAATTCTACCCCATTCATCAATGTGGACACTACATAGAGACAAAAGCCAAATAAAAACTAGCTCAAAACCAATAAAAACAACTGGAAGGGCTGGTTTGTACATGCTGTTCGTAGCCAGTTCTATTACCCACAAGGTTCATATACTTTCTAACAACTGTTTGAACCAAATTATTGACCTGGCCAGCCATGACCCGGCCATGCTTAAAGTAGCTGCCCTACCTTGGGTGGCTCAAGCAGGAGTTCATGGAAAGATCCAAGTCTTCCTCGGATAGCTTCTAAAACACTCTTGTTGACCGAACAAGCCGAATGACTCATGCCTGGCGGGCAGATCTCTATATGGCCTTCAAATCTTGAAACAAAGCAGGTTAATTTTATTATAATTTCAAAACAAATCAAGGTGCTCCCTATCAGCATGTAGGTAGATATATAATAGCTATATAAATATGATTATATAAACATTTCTGGAGAGACAGGAAGGGGGTGTTGTTAATACAAGCTTGCTGGGGAGCAGCAACATGACCTGAAATCCACAGGCCTAAACTGTCAGGAGAGAAATTACATGTGATTTCTTCCCATTCTCCCAAACCTTATAAGCTCTTTATACCTATGATTCTAATAGCAGGTCTTTACCAGGAAATTTGGAAAGCAAAAGGAGATCAGATCCCTGAATTATAGGGCATACCATACTATGTGTCATCTGAGATGTTGATAATCAACAGGCCTGTATCTGCTCCATACGGTTTTCCGTGGGTAACCAACATTGTTTCCTACTTAAAAAGCGTAAATCACTCTTCCACATAAAGCTCAATCTATACTCATTATCATCTACTCCTGACGGGAAAGTGATGACGAGTGGAACGAGACGCTCAATCTCAATGGGCTTTAATGAGCACATAGGCCAAGGGGTTCTTAAAGTGGGAGGAGGAAGGACCTCAGGAGAGGAGGGGGTGGTCTAAGAATGTGGGCGTGCAGTTCAAGTGAAAAGACAGACCGGGGAGTGGCTTGTCAGTTGGACGTCAGTGTAAACTAGTCGTTGATGCAGCTGCAGAGCCCCAGCCCTGGATCCTCACTCACCAGCTGTGGGTTCTATTACGGACACTGGGAGCGTCTACACAGTCTCTCCCAGGCCCGCTGTGAGGGGAGTGCTCACGCAAAGGGCTGAGCATGCCGCCTGGCACGGAGCTCACACCTGGAGAGCAATTATTAGGACTATTTTTGAAAGTATTCCACATGAGTAAACCACTTCTAACTCAGAGCTGCAGGTAAAAGCATTCAGAAATTCAACGGAATAGAACAGGGGAAAGGAAAGGGCTTTTACTTTGGCTAGTGTTTTTTAATGTTTAGGGGTTTTAGTAAATAATTGATGTGGCCAAATACAGCTTTCTTTTATTACAGTTTCTGTCCAGGGAGCCAAGCTTAAACGTTCTTTACAAGCCCATAATTCTAAGAGTATTTATACACTTTTCTTCTAGTATTTTAATTTAATTCATCTGGAATTTATTTTTTACACAAAACAGGTATAGATATGGTATTTCTTCTCAAATGGTAAGTCAATTTCTAAGCAACATTTATAGAAAATCTACATTTCCCCCCTTATGTGAAAAAGCATAAAAAACCATATACTAAAATTCCTTAAGCATTCATATAAACTTTATTTTTTCATTTAATAAATACTTACTGAGCATCATTTTCTGCACTAGCTCTGACTTAGGTACTGAAGTCAATATCCGTAGTGTTTAGTAAGACTTACACTGGTATCATACCACCACATTTATTATAACAATGATGCAACTGTAATACTCAGGAGGCGATTTAATTGTTGGTATTGCTCAACATCTCCTGGCTAGTCTCCCACTTTCACTCTTCCAAATGCATGTAAGATTTCGAGTAAGAATTTGACAATTCCAAAACTAAAACCATGTTGATATTTCCAAGTAAAACTATGTGAAATTTAGACTATGTTAAATTTGGAAAGGCACAAGAAATAATGAATGTTTTATGTATCAGAGTCCATTCTTTTTTACTGCTGAAGAACAATCCACTGTATAGATGTACCACAGCCTCTTTATCCATTTACCAGTTTAAGGACACTGGGTAGTTTACAGGTTGTGTGATTATGAATAAAGGTGACATAAACATTCACTTACAATTTTGTGGGACATTATTTTCCTTGTGACAATATCTAAGAGATTGCTGGACAATACAATGAATGTCTATTTAACTTTGTAAGAACTGCCACACATCTTTGGAAAGTGGTTGTATGACTCTGCATTCCCAACAGTAACGTGTGAGACTTCCAGGTGCTCCCCACTGTCCCTAGCACTGAGTATGGTCTTATTTTGTTTGGCTTAGCTGTGGAGTTGGCAACGGTGCCCGCTCCCCCACCAAAGACAGGTCTACACACTAATCCCAGAGCCTGTGAACAGATGTTACCTTAATTAAGATGTAATTAATGAAGGATCTTGAGATGAGATTATCCAGGATTATCCAGATGGCCCCTCAATGACATCCCGAATGTCCTCAAAAGAGAGGAGAGACAGACACACAGCAGAGGTGCTGTAAAGATGGAGAGGTGGCCACAAGCCAAAAATTGCCACGAGCCACCAGAAGCTGGAAGAAGCTGAGGATGAATCTCCGCTAGTGCCCCGGGACGCAGTGTAGCACTGCTGACACCTTGATCTTGGACTTCTAGCATTCACTGTCAGAGAATAATTTCTGCTGTTTTAAGCCACAGTTTGTGGGAATTTGTTACAGCAGTCACAGGAAACAAATACAAGTCATTCAAAAGGTGTGTAGTGGCATTTCAATGTGGTTTTAATTTGAATTTCAGTAATGACAAATGATGGGCATTTGTCATGTATTTATTTGCTATACAAATAATTTTATTCATTAAGTGTCTGCTCAAATCTTTTGACCTTAAAAACTGCATTTTCTTGTTACTAAAGTTTTGAGTGTTATACAGTATCTGGATATAAGTCCTTTCTCAGACATGATTTGTAAATATTCTCTGATAGTCTGTGGCTTGCCTTTTTATTTTCACAAGAGTCCCCCCCCCTTTTTTTAAGATTTATTTATTTTAGAGAGAGTGTGTGTGTGTGAGAGTGAACGAGAGTTCCAGCAGAAGGAGGGGCAGAGGCAGAGAAACCCTCAAGCAGACTCCCCACTGAGCACAGAGCTGGAGGCACGCATTAATCCCAGGACCCTGAGATCACAACCAGAGCTGAAATCAAGAGCCGGATGCTCAACCGACTGAGCCACCCTCGGAGCCCCACAACAGAGTCTTTCAAAGAGCATTTTATGGAATCCGAGTTGTCAACTTTTCTTTTATGGATTGGGCTTTGGTGATGCATCTAAGAAATCTCTGCCTAACATAGGCCACGGATCTTCTTCTAGAACATTATAGTTCTGGGATTTACATTTAGTCCTATGATCCATTTTGAGTTAATTTTTGCATAATGTGCAAGGTACATATTGAGGCCCCTCACCCTTTTTTTTGTTCTAGCACCATTTGTTGAAAAGGCTATCCCTTCTCCACTGAACTGCCTCCACATCTCTGTCAAAAGACAACTGATCACATACCATGTGGGCCTGCTTCTGGACTCTTGTTTTGTTCCAGTGATCTCTGTGTCTATCCTTTTGCTAATCCCACACTGTCCTGACTACTGTAGCTTTAGATCAGAGAGTGCCAGTACTCCAATTTTGCTTTTCTCTTTCAAAATTGTTTTGGCTACTGTACTTGCTTTGAATTTCCACATAAGTTTTAGAATTAGCTTGTTAATTTCTACAAAAACTCCTGCTTTGATTTTGATTGGAATTATATGGACACTCCACATCGTTCTGGGGAGAACTGACAACCCAACAATACTGAATTTTCTAATCCATGAACAAAGTAGCTCTCTCCATTTATTTAGGTAGTCTTTGAGTTCATCAGTATTAAGCGGTTTTCGGCATTAAATCCTGCACATTTTGTAAACAGATATACGTCCAAGTGTTTTCTTTTCTCTGCCATAGTAAATGCTATTTCATAAAAATTCCAAATTCCAGTTGTTGGTTGCTATTTTAAAGAAATACAACTAATTTTTTTTTATTCTTATGTTAATCCCCATACATTACATCATTAGTTTTAGATGTAGTGTTCCATGATTCATTGTTTGTGCATAACACCCAGTGCTCCATGCAGAATGTGCCCTCCTCAATACCCACCACCAGGCTAACCCATCCTCCCACCCCCCTCCCCTCTAGAACCCTCAGTTTGTTTTTCAGAGTCCATTGTCTCTCATGGTTCGTCTACCCCTCCGATTTCCCCCGCTTCATTCTTCCCCTCCCACTACCTTCTTCTTTTTTTTTTCTTAACATATATTGCATTATTTGTTTCAGAGGTACAGATCTGAGAGTCAACAGTCTTGCACAATTCAGAGCTTACCAGAGCACATACCCTCCCCAGTGTCTATCACCCAGTCACCCCATCCCTCCCACCCCACCCCCCACTCCAGCAACCCTCAGTTTGTTTCCTGCGATTAAGAATTCCTCATATCATTGAGATCATATGATTCATGTCTTTCTCTGTTTGACTTATTTCACTCAACATAATACCCTCCAGTTCCATCCACGTCATTGCAAATGGCAAGATCTCATTCCTTTTGATGGCTGCATAATATTCCATTGTATATATATGCCACATCTTCTTTATCCATTCATCTGTCGATGGACATCTTGGCTCTTTCCACAGTTTGGCTATTGTGGACATTGCTAAAGAAATACAACTAATTTTTGAATACTGACTTTATTATATCTTGCAATTTTGCTAAGTTTACTTGTTAGTTCTAGGAGTTTTTTGTATATTCTTTAGGATTTTCTACAAAGACAATCCTGACCTCTGCGAACAGATTCAGTTTTCTATCTTCCTCTCCTGCCTTACTGCGCTGGCTGGGACCTCCTGCACGCGGCTGACTGGGACTGGCAATGGCAAAGATCCTTGCCATGTTTCTTGATTTTAGGGGATATCATTTCAGTCTCAGATCATTAAGAATGCTGTCAGCTATGAATTTTTTTGTAAAGGGGGCCTTATCAGTTTCTAAGATCCCGTCCATTACTAACTTACTAAGAGGTTTTTATCATAAAGGAATTTACTGAAATGACCAGATGATTTTTCTTCTTTAATCTGTTAATATGAGTTACACTGATTTTTTACTGAGACTTTATTTTTATAGAGCAGTTTTAAGTTCAGAGCAAAGTGGAGGGGAAGGTACAGAGATTGTCTCCCCCATTACCAACTCCCCCTCCTCACCCCCAGAGTGGCACATCCGTTTCAATCACTGAACCAACAATGACATGACATAATCATTACCC